TTCTCTTGACCGAAATCCAGTGAGTTTCCCGTAGACCCTGCAGAAAAAAATTTAATAAAAGTAAAATTCCCTTATTAAATAAAATGCTTGGAGGGTGACTTGGCTTTTGTACAGCAGCAGCAACCCAATATGACTGATTTCCACCCCAAAAGAAATGGTAATAGGTAGTTTCTGCCAAAACATTTTTTTTTGTAGAACTAATAATTGAACATTGGAATTAGATGAGGCAATATAGCCAAAAGCTATCATAAGATATTCACTATAAAACAAAAAAGCTAAAAGCAATATAAATTGCCAAACTGGGAAAAAGAAGTCACAGAGTATAGCTTGTTGCGATCTTCTATTTAGTAACACAGTGTATTGTGTGCCAACCACAATCCACAAACCCACAATAAAACATGGCATTGGGATTATTTTTCTTGTTCAGCAAAACAACTGCCTCACCTCTGCAGAGACCAAAGCATACAATTTCACAGCAGCTAGAGAGTATGCAAGCAGTTTGAGAAGGGCCCAAGGCAACAATGTAAGTCACCGGTCACACTGCTGCGATTTAAAATTGTGTGTGCAATTTCAGTGCGATTTCATGTGCGATTTCTGAAGACTTTGTTACTTGTGAAGATTTCCAATGATTTCTTGCAATTTGCAGTGCAATTTCCATTATATTCTATGTATGTGAAATTGCAACAAAACTGCAGAAAAAGTATTACAAGAACTACTTTAGAAATTGGGCTGCAGCAAATAGTACCTGTTAAGACACTGACATTCATATTCATTAGATGCGATTTCAATTCGCAAATCGCACCTGAAATCGCACCGGTGTGACCGGGCACTTAGGGAGAGAGGATCAATGTTTTCTTAGAAAAAAACAATTATGGGAAGATGGTACAAACACAGTAGCTCTAAATATTGTAATGTTCCCGCTAAGGTAGCCCTTGAACATCAGAGGAAGAGATCATATTTTTTTCTATCTAAAAAAAAAAGTATATTTCAGCTTATGTCACAGTATATAGCCAGAAATATTGTATAAACACGTGGCACACTATATAGGTGTTTTTTCTTAGATCACAATGTAGGACAGAGAGGTTAGGCAGTTTGATCCTTCTAAAATAAAAAGAAGAATGTGCTTTTTTAGAGCAACAAGCCAGAAAACCTGAACTGGTTAGCTACTGGACGGTATGTACTCTATGTTTGCTAGGATTCTACGCCACGGGGAGATCCAGCAGACCTGATCTGGCATAATCTCAATTTCTACCTAAACAACGGTAAACATTTGATGCAAACTTCCTGAAACCTTTTTGCTTTTCAACTATTCCAGAGGGAGTGAGCAGGCAGATGTTTCACAACTTCAACACTGGGTCAATTCTGACACTTCTCACATACATGCAAAAATCTACAATTTTGTTTGCTAGAAAATTACTTAGAACCCCAAAACATTTTATATTTTTTAAGCAGAGGCCTAGAAAATAAAGTGGGGGGTGCTGCAATTTTTTATGTTACATGGTATTTGCACAGCAGTTTTACAAATTCAATTTAAAAAAAAAATACACTTTAGTGAATTTTAACGCACAAAAACATAATATAATACCCATTGTTTGATAAAATATAAAAAATGGTACTATGCTCAGTAAATAGATACCTAACATGTCATGCTTTAAAATTGTGCACGCTCGTGGAATGGCGCCAAACTACGGTACTTAAAAATCTCCATAGACGACGCTTTATAAGCCTTTACAGGTTACCAGTTTAGTTATACTGGAGGTCTGGTGCAGGAAATATTGCTCTCGCTATAATGTTTGTGGCGATACATCACATGTGTGGTGTAAACACCGTTTACATATGTGTACACACCCTCAGGGGCGGACTGACCATTTGGAAACTCGGGCACTACCCGAGGGCCCGGGTCAGTAGGGGGCCCCATGAGATGCCCCTGGTACCTTTTTCATAGGCTTTTTTTGAGTATGGGCAAGGACACAGGGGCCCCATGATCTCCTATTGCCCGAGGGCCCCATGAGTTGTCAGTCCGCCCCTGCGCACCCTATATATGCGTTCCCTTCGCGCATGAGTACATGGGGCGGGGGCTGCTTTAATGTCTTTTTTATTTTATTTAAATGTTTTTATTTTTACACTCTCTCTTTAAACTTTGATCAACTTTATTGCTATCACATCCCTTGTGATAGCATAGGCAGTGTCCGGTACTATTTACTATTAGACCCCAGATCTCTCCTCTGCTCCTAAACCACAAGATTGGTTTGATCAGATGCTTTCACAGGCCACTAATGGCCTGTGTACATTAGACCGAAACCAGAAGTGACAAAATACTTGTCGCTTTCAGTTTTTTAGACCATAGAGATGATCGGGGACATTCCGGACATCGGTCATCTCTATAGTAAGTCCACAGAACCACCAGCTTCAGTTCCAGGCTCCCCAGTGAGATTGGAGAGCCTGGAAGGTGGCAGGATGGGTGGGGGGTAAATGTGAAAGCAATCCAGCTGCTTTTTAACATCTCAGAATGTATTTACAATTTTCAGCATCCCAAGCTAATAAAAGTACCAGGGTTACGACTGCAGCTGCAACCACGGCCCCGGTATAACCCCTTCAACCCGAGGCCGTACGGGTATGCCCTTTTAGGAAAGGGGATTAAAACAGAACATTTAGAACTATTTTCTAAGTCCGAAAACTGAAGATGGAACAATTTTGAAGGACACTTTTTAAGTCTTTCTCATGTAGGCCACCATTTTTGGAAGGAGAGACAGAAATCAGATTGCACGTTGAAATCTAAAATTTGTCTTCTCTTCAGAAGACTAAATATGGAAAAAAATTTCAAACTTTTTCAGCATAGCTATTAAGCCTATATGGAGAGCCTGCAATTTACAGACATCTGAGCAGGTATTTACCATCTGTAAAAAAATAAATAACACTTTCTTTTTTTGGACACTCAGGATGAAAATAATTTAGTTTGCACCACAGCTTAAAAGCTCGTTTGGACAGGCTGCAATTTCTGAAAGCTTGAGCGGGCATTTAGCATGCAAAAAAAATATTAGTGTCTTTTTTTGGACACTGAGGATGGAAATAGCATACAGGTGTGCACCACAGGTAGAAAGCCTTTTTTTTTTTTTTGAACAGGCCACAATTTCTGAGAGACTGAGCAAGCATTTTGCATATATATAAAAAAATATATATATACCGTATTTTTTGCTCCATAAGACACACCTAGGTTTTAGAGGAGGAAAACAAGAAAAAAATATTCTGAACCAATGGACTGCAGACATTGTACAGGAGATGACCAGAGAGTGCGGACATAGTACAGGAGATGACCAGAGAATGCAGACATAGCACAGGAGATGACCAGAGACTGTGGATATACTACAGGAGATGACCAGAGACTGCGGACATAGTACAGGAGATGACCAGAGACTGCGTACATAGTACAGAAGATGACCAGAGACTGTGTACATAGTACAGGAGATGACCAGAGACTGCAGACATAGTACAGGAGATGACCAGAGACTGCGGACATACTACAGGAGATAACCAGAGACTGCAGATATAGTACAGGAGATGACCAGAGAGGAGATGACAGACTGCGGATATACTACAGGAGATGACCAGGGACTGCGGACATACTACAGGAGATGACCAGAGACTGCGGGCATACTACAGAAGATGACCGGAGACTGCGGATGTAATACAGGAGATGACCAGAGACTGCATACATAGTACAGGAGATGACCGGAGACTGCGGACATAGTACAGGAGATGACCAGAGACTGCAGACATAGTACAGGAGATGACCAGAGACTGCGGACATAGTACAGGAGATGACCAGAGACTGCGGACATAGTACAGGAGATGACAGACTGCGGACATACTACAGATGACCAGGGACTGCGGACATACTACAGGAGATGACCAGGGACTGCAGACATACTACAGGAGATGACCAGAGACTGCGAACGTACTACAGGAGATGACCAGAGACTGCGAACGTACTACAGGAGATGACCAGAGACTGCAGACATAGTACAGGAGATGACCAGAGACTGCGGACATAGTACAGGAGATGACCAGAGTCTGCGGACACAGTACAGGAGATGACCAGAGTCTGCGGACACAGTACAGGAGATGACCAGAGACTGCGGACACAGTACAGGAGATGACCAGAGACTGTGGACATAGTACAGGAGATGACCAGAGTCTGCGGACATAGTACAGGAGATGACCAGAGTATGCAGACATAGTACAGAAGATGACCAGAGACGGCGGACATTGTACAGGAGATGACCAGAGACTGCGAACGTACTACAGGAGATGACGAGAGACTGCAGACATAGTACAGGAGATGACCAGAGACTGCGGACATAGTACAGGAGATGACCAGAGTATGCAGACATAGTACAGAAGATGACCAGAGACGGCGGACATTGTACAGGAGATGACCAGAGACTGCGAACGTACTACAGGAGATGATGAGAGACTGCAGACATAGTACAGCAGATGACCAGAGACTGCGGACATAGTACAGGAGATGACCAGAGACTGCGGACATAGTACAGGAGATGACCAGAGTCTGCGGACACAGTACAGGAGATGACCAGAGACTGCGGACATAGTACAGGAGATGACCAGAGACTGCGGACATAGTACAGGAGATGACCAGAGACTGCGGACATAGTACAGGAGATGACCAGAGACTGCGGACATAGTACAGGAGATGACCAGAGTCTGCGGACATAGTACAGGAGATGACCAGAGTCTGCGGACATAGACAGGAGATGACCAGAGACTGCAGACATAGTACAGGAGATGACCAGAGACTGCGGACATAGTACAGGAGATGACCAGAGACTGCGGACATAGTACAGGAGATGACCAGAGTCTGCGGACATAGTACAGGAGATGACCAGAGACTGCGGACATAGTACAGGAGATGACCAGAGTTTGCGGACATAGACAGGAGATGACCAGAGACTGCGGACATAGTACAGGAGATGACCAGAGTTTGCGGACATAGACAGGAGATGACCAGAGACTGCAGACATAGTACAGGGTTACCAGAGACTACAAAGTACAGAGATGACAAGAGACTGCAGACCTTTGAGGAGCATGCTTAGTGGGCACCTGGCTGTGACAGCTTGCGGCTTCGCACTAAAGATGCCGGCGCCAGTGAGAGAAGACGACCGGTGAAACCAGATGTGGTGAGGACAGCGCTGGACCGAGGAACAGGTAAGTGGCTGTTTTTGACTTTTTTTTCTCAGCTGGAACTCCGCTTTAAGGGGCAGCTGCTTTGGGCCCTGCCTGGCACTGCCACAGAAGAGCCAAGAGGCCGGCCCGGTATTCTAACACTTTGGCGGCGACGGGAGGATTACTGGGCCAGTCGCTCCATATGACGCACAGACATTTTCCCCCATTTTTGGAAAAGAAAAAAAAAGGGTGTCTTATGGAGCGAAAAATTATGGTATATTTTTTTTTTTGGACACTAAGAATGAAAATAGATTACAGGTTTGCAGCACAGCTAAAAAGCCTATTTGGACGGGCTGTAACTTCAGAGAGTCTGAGCAGGTAATTTGCATCTTAAAAAAAGTTTTTTTGGGGGGGAAAAAAAGTGTACCTCAGCTATATCGCCTATTTTGAACAGGCTGCAATTTTTTATATATTGAACAGGCATTTAGCATCTGTAAAAAAAATAAATATTAGTGTCTTTTTGGACAATTAAGTTTACTACACACGGGCCGAATGTCAGATGACATTGGCCAATTCAATAGAAGTCGACCGACATTCAGCCCGTGTCTACGGCAGTTGGTCCAACAGAAGCCAGCCATTCAGCCGGTTTCTGTTGAAGGGAATAAAGGTCTGGCATTCAGCTCCCAATCAGCGCTCTCAGCCAATGGCTGAGAGCGCTGATAGGAGTGTTCTGGTGGGGGGAGGCGTCCCCCCTGTCAGAACACAATAGCACTGCAGAGGATAGTTAGTACAGCAGCTTTTCCTGAGCTGTCAGGTTTTTTTTTTTTCGTTCAGCCCGCTGGGTTGAACGAAAATAAAACTAGTAGTGTGTTCCAGGCTTTAGGATGGGAATAGCATACAGGTGTAGTGTCATCTAGGTAGATATGATTTTTGTGGTTAGTCAGAAGCTTGTTAGAAGACTGGGTTGAGTCAGGTTGAGATTGAGGCAGTGAGGTTACCTCACGTCAGGCTGGGGGGCTCTACAGGTTAGGGCTTCTGGAGCCCTCCAGCCCCTCTAGAAACCGTTTGAACTGAAAGAGGGGCAGAGGAGGGGAGGTCTGGATTTGCATGTTAAGGGAAACCTGGCCAGTCCCCAGGTGGGAGGCCTAGCATAGTGACAGGGACAACCCGTAATGTGATAAGGCTTGAACAGCAAGGGTGTTTTAGTTGGAGTCCAGTGGAAGATGGACTGAAGGAAGATACTGGACTGTGGAGCCTGGGAGGGGGGCTACCACCAGGCTGGAGCAGACAGAAGGATCTTCACTGTACCACAGTCTCCTATAGAGGACAGCCTCTCAGCAGGGAAGGAACCAGCCCAGAGTAAGGCCCGAAGGCAGCTGCAAACCACTAAACTGCAGGAGTAGGACAGTTGCCTGCGTGGGTTTCCTCCGGGTACTCCAGTTTCCTCCCACACTCCAAAGACATGCTGGTAGGTTAATTGGCTCCTGTCTAAATTGCTAGTATGTGTATGTATGAATGTAAGTTAGGGACCTTAGATTGTACGCCTCTTGAGGGTTAGGGACTGATGTGAATGTACAATATATATATATATATATATATGTAAAGTGTTACGTACATTGACAGTGCTTTATAAGTACCTGAAATAAATAAATAAATATACCTGTTGTACTGATAGGAATGTTGTAGGATGATAACTTCCTGTTCTCTCTGTCAGTTAGCATCATTCCCAATTCTCTCTGCGGACTATAGAACCAGGGGTGGACTGACAACTCATGGGTTCCCCGGGCAATAGGGGATCATGGGGCCCCTGTGTCCTTGCCCAAACTCAAAAAAGCCTATGAAAGAAGGTACCAGGGGCATCTCATGGGACCCCCTACTGACCCCGGGCCCTCGGGCACTGCCCGAGTTTCCAAATGGTCAGTCCGCCCCTGTATAGAACACCTCTATTTCATGGATAAAAAAGTACACTGGAGATGTTTTATAGTTTTAAAGTGACAATAAACTATACCCTTACTCTCCAAAAATAATCGATACATTTCTACTACATAATGGCCTTTTAATCTATTTACATGAAATTATTCCTTACTGTGTTTTTCTTCCTTCTTGTAACATCCTCCGTAAACTCCTGAACCTCCCCGTTCCCCCATCACTTCCACTTCTGGAGTAAGCAGTGCATGTTATTTGTGGTCAGGTGCACTGCTTTTTGCACACTACAAGTCCCATATTCTATAATCCATAGTCCATTTCGGGAACAACCAACTGGGACAATGGAGAATGAATGTTAACAGGAAGTCAGATCGCAGGAGCAAAAAAAAAAAGGAATTTGGAGACTGAAAAGAGAATGAGAGCAATGGAAGGTATATTTCTGAGTTAAGAATACATAATTATGAATCAATTTTTTTTTTTAAACCGGAGATTAGTGTCACTTTAACATATTCGCTTCCTAGAGTGACAACACTGTTCCTCCATCGATACTGCATAGTGAGGGAAGGTTGTCACTCTAGGACAGGAAGCATGTTACTGGCAGGGTCACTAGCTGAAAATAAAAAAAAATGAGCCTGAAAACAGAAAAAACTAATGCATCCAGCCTTATCTAATTATTGGTACATTGCAATATATTACATTTTTGTTTTTTGTTTAGAAGTTGAGTCTTCAAATTTCAGATTAATAAAAAAGATGAACAACAAAGCTTGGAAATCAAGTTTTAAAATATTTTACATGTTTTACAAATCTACCGTATTACAAAAAAGTTAAAAAATACAAATTAATAATTTAAGAGTCCGTAGTCTTCACAATTTTTTTGAAATCCATTCCTCCCAGGAGAGCTAAAGAAGATACAAAACCAAACTCCAAAATTCACCTGTAAAGGATATAAAAAAAAAAGACAATCATATAAAGAGAAAAGACCATGCATGCGTTTTCACAGCTCAAGATAACAAAAGTGCCTGAGAGTTGATGGATCATGCATGTAATTCTACTTGTCTTCTAAAATCTGTGGGCACCTTTTAGCTGGTCATGGGTATTAAAGTATATTCAAAGAGTAACTCCAATTTTGTTGGTAAAAAAAAAAAAAATCCCTTCTGGGTGTTCTATGTATGTTGCAAGAGCTTAAAATGGTAACTCCACTTTCATGTAAAAAAATAGCAAATATAAAAAAAAAAAATTATATAACATACAATTGTTACATAGGTCAGATTGTAATTGTGTAATTTTGAATGATATTAAAAAGTGCTTTTCCTTTTCAATCTGCAGCTCTGTACTTATCTGTGAAATGCGATATGGAAATCTAGAGGAGTTCTGTATACAGACGATATACAGAATGTCCCCCAGAAATGTAATTTCCTGCTTGTGTAATTGGCTAATTTTCCCAGAAGTCTGCACTCAGATAAAAGTCAGATTTTGGGCTTCCCTTACAGCAAAAATGTCATTTCTGCTGAGATACTCCCAAAGGGAAAGAACATCTAAAGGGATGCAGACCCCTGCCACTTTCCTCATTAGAACTCTGAAAGTGCAGCAGCTGATTGAGAATTCTTTCATTTTGCACATGGACACAGACAAACAAACAGTAATTTTTCCAGAATAACAAAAAGTAGGAATCTGCAACAGTTTGTTAAAGGATAAGTATACCCCCAGAAAAAAAATACACTTATCCTGTTTGCCCCTTTAACTTAACCAATCTCACCTCCCCTTTTCAGGCATGCATACATACCTTGCTCTGAAGGCCGATCCAACACCTGAAGTCCTCCGTCTGGCTGTGCCTATACAATGGAGCCCTGTGGAAGTCTATGGGGGCCATCTCCTGGCCAGAGACAGAGTTAAATGGGCTCCATGGGCTCTACTGCACAGGCATTGTCAGGAGACGGAGGATTTGCAGTTTGATTGTCACTGTTGGGCAGCATAAAAACCTCTCAATGCCCCTAGAGTCATCCACAAGAGGCAGAGCTTGGCCAATCAGGATAGATATATGAAAACAGTCATTGTGGACATGTTCTTGATGGTGCAACTCCTGGAGTTGTCACCTTCATCCCTGTGTACTACCTGCTATGTCACTGACCTGGAACATGTATGGGCATATCAGGGGTTCTGACTCATACCTAGCTGTAAATTTGTGGCAGATCAGTGATTAATGCCCCATGCACACTGGGTGTTTAGCCCACATGCAAGGGGCTCTGGTGTCTAGCTTTAGGTAGAGTTGCTCCTTCACCCTGCTGTCTCTATGAGAGGCTGACAGCTGCTGCGGCTGAACGGTTCACCTACCTGTACGGCAGTGTGTGCCAAGGAATGAATGCCCAGAACACAGACATCCTGCATCCCAGGCATTTGTCCCTGGGCGCATACTGGCCTAAAGACGGACTATCCATCCAATTTCTGCTGCAGTAGCTGTCAGTTTGATAGGCTGCTGACAGCAGGGATGGATGGGGAAGCTGTGCCCTCTGCCTGCAGCTAAACACCACAGCCCCGTGCACTAGAGCAAAGCACCCAATATGCATGGGGGCCTAAGTGATGAAAACATTGAAGGGGATGGGAGGCCCTGAACTTGTATCTCCAAAAAAAGTAATCAGTGGAAGCTCCCATACTCCTATGCGGACAGGTCCTACAGAAGTGTAGCACTACCCTCATAAAGGCCGCTGGATTTGATCTGGGTCCCCCTATGCTCTGCACGGCCAGGCAACACACATTTCCCACACTTTGCAGACTGGAGTCAAAGAACAGTCCTTGAGTTTGGTTTTGTGATTTTAATAAGGGGTTAAGAGCTTGAATGGCTCTAGGGGTATATGGGATGCCCGACGAACTGCAAAACTTGAGGACAGACTCCTTAGCACTTTGTACAAAAATGTGGATAGCAACAATCTCTTTCCTTGAAGAGCACCAAGGACTCTTTCTAGAGTACCCCCCTCAGCCCCCAGATTC